GTAGGCCCTTCTCCCGGCTGCATCGTGGGAGAAGGAGCCCCAGGCGTGGCTGGTGGGGACATGGATTTTGAACTTGGTGGCGAGCACCTTGAGGACAGCCTTGCCGTGGGAGCAGGCCAGGAGTGACTGGACCAGACTTTTGCTCTCCACCCTGCCCTTGAAGCGCATGCAGGCCACGGTGCCCTGGGAAACCCGGAGGGCGGGCGCCTGGTGGCGGTGGCCCGTGCGCTCAGCCTTGCGTTTTCTACAGTGCAGCCTCCCAGCTGGAGATGGCCGTCCTGCTGCTTCAGCTGCGGAAGGGCCGTGCTGATGGTCATCTTTGTGATGGGCGTGAGGTGGAGGCCGTACATAGGGCGGACCTCCACTGTCCGAGACGGGTCAAGGACTACGGTAGCTGCTGCCACGGTGGGGCTCTGCCGGGGTCCCAGGCTGCTGCACTGGCTGGACCTCACTGATGTCCCCAGGGACCCCAGCAGGTATGGCTGCCCATCCTGGAGCTGCCACCGTCTGCTGAGGAGCTGATGCAACCCCCCGCCTCCGCCTGCCCATGTGACAGTGCTCAGTGCTAGAGCTACAAAGGTAAGACATTAATTTGTGCCTTTTCGGACCTCAGTTTACAGTGTGGGACAAAGAATAAGTAAACTGTTACAAAATATGTCCTTTGCGCTTCAGGGACCTTGTCTGTCTTGTTCACAGTTGTCTTCTTACGTAGTTGTTGAAGAATATAGAGCAGTGGTTCTCAACCTTGGCTGCACATTAGAATCACGTGGGAATCTTTTTAAAATCCTGATTTCTGCGCCTCATCCTCCAGAAATTCTGTTTCTTTGTTATGCGGCGGGGCCACAACATTAGTAACAAAGAAACAGAATTTCCGGAGGGTGAGGCCCAGAAATCAGGATATTAAAAAGATTCCCAGGTGATTCTAATGTACAGCCCAGTTGAGAACCACTGATAAAGAGGGTGCTGATGACATTGTCTGGGCCATAGTGCTGGACAAATATTTGTTGAATAAATAAAGAGATGCATGAACGCAGAGGACTAAAGGAACACAGAGTGGAGGTGGTTAGGGAAGGCTTTTTAGAGGAAATGCTAATTATAAAATTTATATAGAAGAAGGGCTAAGAATAGCAAACATAAAGAAAAAGATGACAGGAATGTATCCTACCAGCTGTCAATTGAAATATTGTAGGAGGTAGGGACCTAAGAAATGTCCAAATCTGTAGAGAATTTTTATGAGTTTACTTGAGCCAAACTGATGATAATTGCTGGGACGTAAAACCTCAATAGGTTGGAAAAATGCTCTGGAGAATAGCGGTTTTGCTGCTTATTTTGTACGTTAGGCTGAAAGGAGGAGACATTAGGAGGGTTACGTGAAATCCATTGGTGATAGTTAAGGGGATGGGAGAAAGCAAAGTGGGGAAATCTCTGGGATTGAAAAAAAGGCAAATTAGAGAAACACATACTTCTCTACATTGGTACAGGATAATTAATACTTAACATTTACAGCACATAGAAGTGATATTCAGGAACAAGATAATAGTCAGGGATCTGTGGTCTTGTGCTCTGATGCAGGCAGTTGTGCCTTGAAGGGTCTGGAAAAGGAGTACTCTGACATTTCAAAGTTATGCTATCTTAGATGCAAAAAGACAATAGACAGGCTCACTTACGGTAAAGACTGACCTTTGTCAAGGAAGATACTGGCCTAGGACATGACTACCCTTTATGACTCTCTTTTAGTTAGAAATTCTTATGTTCAAATCATCGTATGTGGTTACTTTAGGTCTCTGAGTTTTTTGTTTTTGTTTTTAATATATATATATATATTTATTGATTTTTTTTTGAAAGCCGACTGAAGCCAATCCACTAAGCCAAGCTAGTTAGGGCAAGTCTCTGAGTTTTTTTAAGGCCCTCCATGCAGGACTCCCCTGAGCTAGTTAGCTTTGATGTGGCCCTTTTTTTTTATCCAGAGAGTTATCATGGATTCATCATGATCACATTTCTCTGTCAAGCTATGGAGGAAAGTGAGCAGATAGGGATTTTAGAAAGGTCACTCCGGTACTGTTGTACAGGATGACCTGGGGCGGGGGGAGAGCACAGTGGGTCCCTTAACAGGAAGAGTAAATATCGGAGGAAACCCAGGTTGTGTTTGCTCTGGGACATGTTGATTTTAAGGATCTCTGGGGCAGATAAGTAGGTATCCGGAAACTCGGAATGGAGCTTGGGAGAGTTTGAGGCAGATTTTTTAAGTAGTTGAAGTAATGAAAATAACTTTCACTGGGGAGAAAAGATTCCAAGATCAACAGGTAGAGAAGGAAGACAGAGTAGGTGTAAAACACTTCCTGGAGGAGATAATACAATCTGAAGAGGCAGCGGTGTGGTACAGGAGTAGCCCAGGTCAGAGGGCAGATGCAGAAGCTGAGAGAGTACAGAGGGTGCTGTGCTGGAGGACTGGTTATGAGGTGGTCAAGCAAAAGGACCAACCAAAGGTGGTGGGGAAACAAGAGGGGCTAAGCAGGAAGGGAAACTTTGTATTTTTCCATTCACACGTGCAAAAGGATAGATGCACGCTTACCTTTGCATTCATGGCAAGTCGGATGGCATCTCTCACAGGTCTGTGTCTTTTGGTCTGCATAATAATGATCTGGGCAGGTGCGACGGCACTCGCCCTTGGAGTGGAGCAGAAAGAAAAATGTATCGCAAGACAGGCAGTCGGTGGGCCTCGGGCCCCTGCAGGCCTTGCAGCTCTTGTTGCATCTCTCACACCGTCCAGTGGAGTTTGCTGCATAATATCTGCAACCAAGGAGGGAAGCAAAGACTAAATTCTTTTTTTCCTTTTTCTTTTGAGAATTTCTGTGAGTTTATTTGAGCCAGACTGATGACATGTGCTGGGGAACAAGTTCCCCAATGTTCCTGCGAAGACCATATTCTAAGCTTTGGGAAATCATGGTTAGCCACACAAGCTTAATTTATAAACTGGGCGAATTACCTTTTCTCATTAGAATTGTTACTGACTATGATAATAAATCTAATGATTCTCAGTTTTCTTTTCTGTAAATTAGGCATTACAGCCTCTCCCCTGCTATTTGTGAGAATTGTTAGATAACACATATAAAAGGACTTAGTTCTTATTACATACTAGAGGCCCAGTGCATGCAATCTATTCAGATGACCGAATTATACTCCCTTTTTGTGCATAAGAATATTTATGACTTGATTTGAGGAAGATGGAGACACTTTGTATGGGGTACAGATATTTTTCAGGCACTTATTAGGATGAAGGGGAAGGGCCAAGGTAGGCAGGTCCAGCCCCTCTCTCGTCTGGCAGAGCCCATTCTGCATCTATCCAGTGTGGCTGGTGTGTTTTGAGGGCTGCAATGTGTGTGCCTCTGTGCTGATGGTTGTAGTAACATGTGTGAAAAAGGAGAGGTGTTTTTCTTCCAAGAGCTTGTCATTTTTTGGGGAAGAGATAGGTAAGAAGAATAAGCTCTTGAAGGTAAAAATCTTTGTCTTACCTTATACATATAAAGTATTCTTCATTAAGCATGTGTTGAATGAAAGAGCAAATGAATGAGGTAAATCAAAACACAAGGCAGTGTATAGCACTAAAATGAGTCATACAAACAGTGATTGCTATAGAACTGAAGAGATGTGCCAATTTGGGCAAAAGCATTTGGGGAAAGGTTAAGGTTACAGCTTTTCAATCTGAGTCTGGAAACTCTCCGTGCTCTAGGTTAGGGAAGGAAGAGTTAGCAACAGGCCTGTAATCAATCTTTCTCTTCAGCGGGGATGCCTGAGGGTAAAAAAACGATGACCTAGTCAAATCCTCTTCCAAATATGCTTGTCAGAAGGCCTTTTGTTAAAAAAAAAGAAAAATAATAGAGTTCTTATCAGTAAAATGCTTTTAAAAGGATACATCCATGTGTTTAGGTTGCTTATGGCAATTAAACATGTAACTTGAGAGTTTAAGCAGGGCATGGCAGGTTAGAGAATTAGCGGAGAATTAAATGGAGATATTTAACTGAAAATTGTTCCTTTTGTGAAAGCAACATTACACATACATTGCTTAGACATCACATATTAAATGTGATAGAACAAATCCAAATGCAGAAGAGAAAGAACATACGTTCATGGTCTTGAATTTCTCTAAGGGAAGAATGCGTCACCTCTTTCTTGTGATTGCTTTGCAGCCTTTGAATTGTTAGTGAAGTTTGGCATGCGAGTCTGATTTCACAATCTGACCCTTTGTGTTCTCTTGCTGGGTCACTTGCCTCCCCTGTTTCCCTTTTCATTACTCTGAACTGGCAGAAATCCTTTGGACACTGTTAGGCCTGGGTTGCACTCTCTCATCTTTGTCCTTTACTGGCAGTGAGACTTCAATCTGTTTACCAATATATACGTGTTCTGAGACTTAGCTTCCCCATCTGCAAAATGGGTTTGCTAATAGTGAGATCTGGATTGCTTATGGGATTAAATGAGGGAAAAGTGGGTTGAACAACTTACCCTTCCCTGCACTGGGGCAGGCACTCTTTTCCCATCTGGAACCAGCCTGGTGGGCAGGAGAGGCACTGTGTGCTGTGTCGCCCTTCACATGTCTTACAAGAGCTGTGGCAGGGGTCACAACGGTGGCTGTCTTCATTAGTGTAGTAGCCCTCAGGGCAGTCCTGCACACAGGTCATGTCTGCCAAGGGAGGAAAAGAGTCTGTCTTGGTATTAAGTATGGCACATATCTCCCAAACCTCCTCTGCATGCTCTCCACTGTGTACCATGGTGGAGGGGGGATGCACGAGGAATGAGACAATATCCCTGTGGGCTGATGGCTATCCTTGGGAACTAAGATGTATATCCAAGAAATAGATTCAGCCATAATGTCATTAGGAGTTGAGAGAAAACAGGGGTCAGAGTGGACTGGCCATGTTGGGCATGATAGAAACCAGTCTGTAAAAATGAGCTAGAGGATGGAGGGGGTCTCCCAAGAGAGGGAGCCCATTTAAGGCAGGGGTGAGTCAGGGCTCCATTGAAGAAAGCAGAAAGTGTGATGATGTCTTCCCACAACCTCAGCTTTCTATTTCTAGCCTTGACTGTGTTCCCTCCTATATATCAGATTTTATCTTTTGTTCTGCTGTGTTGTCCACACACTATTGCTCTTGAAATTTAAATGAATTTAAAATGAAATAAAATTAAAACTTCAGTTCCTCAGTTGCATGAGCACAGATATAAAGCATTTTCATCATGACACCAAGTTCTGTTGGCAGTGAGACTCTGCTTTGCCCATGTATTTAAAAAATTAAATTAAAACCTTAAATCTGCTCTGTGTAGAGAGATGAATTGGAGTTGAGTTGCTTAGGCCCACATCACCCCAGTCCTTCCTCGCTAACCCTAGGGGAGCTGCTGATTCTTGTCTTTTCTGCGTCCTCATTAACGTTTAGGGGTGGAGATTGAGGGGGGTTTAATTAGAAAGCGAAGAGCTGAGATTTGCTGGCTTTGCAGTTTACCTCACGCTTCTTAGAGGCAACTTCTTCCCCAGCTTTACCTTAAACTCCCTGAATGGAGGTCTGGCTCTCCTGCATGTTTAGTTAGCCACTGGTCAAGTTTAGACTGGACCATAAGCCAGTTTGTTTCCATCACTATAGCATTAAGCACAGGCCCTGGTGGGAAAGCTGACTCATATTAGAGCTGCTGTGGACTCACCCTCTCTACTGGGAGACTCTCTGAGCTACTCGAAGGCAGGGCCATGCCATTCATGTCTGATTTTCCAGCACAACACACAGGGCCAGATCCCCAGTCAATGTTTATTTGGTGGCTATTTTGTTAAAGATAGATGTTCGAAATGGTTCATTGTCCAGCTGCAGTATTGGTTAACTAGGGGGAAGCCTTGATCCCTTAAAGATGAAACATCTCTGTATTAGTTTCCTATTGCTGTAGTAACATATTTCCATAAACTTAGTGGCTAAAAACAGTACAATTGTATTATCTTACAGTTGTGGGGGTGAGATGTCTAAAACGGGTCCAGGGGGCTATTCACCTTGTAGAGAGACTCTGGGAGAGAATCTGTTTTCTTTGCCTTTTCCAGCTTCTAGAGTTTGCCTGTACTCCTTGGCTTGTGGCCTCCTCCTCCTCCATCTTCACAGTCACAACATAGAACCTTCTCTCCCTCTCTGTTCCTCTGCTCTGACATCTCATAGCCTTGAACTACTAATGTTGATCATCCTGCCTCCCTCTTATAAGGACCCTTGTGATAATCCAGGATAATCCTCCTAAATCAAAACTATTAATTCAATTACATCTGCAAAAATCCCTTTTACCATGTTAAGTACGTATTCCCAGGATCTGGGGATCAGGACACTGGCATTTGTAGGGGGCTAATATTGTTTTTAGGAGGTTTAGTATTGTTCAGTCTACCACAACCTCTGGAGGAATTATCTGGTTTATTCCTAGCCTGACCTTTGAGAGGGTAGTGGTGAGGGACAGAGTGGGAGGATATGAGAAGATCAGGCCTGAACACATCCTGTGCCCAGCCCTTGGGGGACGTGTAGAGAGGATCACACAGTATGTACTGTGTTACACCTTAGTGCTGAAGTCTCAGTTCTAATCTGATTCATATTCCTAGTTTAAGAGAAGACCTACCTTGTAATGATAAGACATCTTCCTGTCTGTGTGAAGGCACCTGAGGTGGTCACTGGTAGCACTAAAAGTTGGGGATAATTAGAAAAGAAGGTCCTGGTGTTTGGATGATATAAAGATCTGGAATGTTTTCATGAAGCAGTAACTGTAGGGAAGAGAGGTCACTGAGATTTGTGTAAGTGGCACTAAAGTGGATGGATGGAGAAGACTGGTGTCTTAGAGAGTCTTCTATTGGGAGGTGATTAGGAGTGATAGGAGGAAATCTACCCCTGTGTCTTACCAGGGGAATGGTGCCCTTGTGATGACATCTCAACAAGAAGAGGAGAAATTGTTACCTATTTCTACTCTGAGTGTCTTGTTTCTCAGGTCTGCTCTGCTGGGTTGAGGAACTCTAACATTTTCTCAGTCTTCAGCATACTTGCTTCTTTCTTCTCTTTCCCACAAACCTTCATTGCTCCTTTTTTCACTTCAGTGGAGTTTTGTTTCATTTTCTTTCTCCCATACCTGTGTTAAGCCCAATCATGGTATCCCTGGAAACTTGAGGACATTGCCTCACATTAGCAGTAACCTTCACAGGTGGCCTGCTGGAGGTGGCCAACCCCACACTGTGACATACTGTGTTCAAGAAGATGTATTAATCAACAGATGCTAAATCAAGGGGAAATTTTGATGAGGTGATGAATATCTACATGTTCATAAAATGTCTCTTCACAGACTGCTTTTTAATCACAAGGGGAAATAGTAACTACAAAGTAGAGAAATTAGGCAGCACCCTGAACAGGATAACATCACTGTAGATGGGCGGGTAGGTGATTGTCGTGTGTCTCCAGAAGGACATAACAGCTATGTAGTGTGCCTGCTGAGAATGTATAATCTCCATCTAATCCTGGGGAAATGTCACACAAACCCCAATGGAGGTTAGGACTGTGTTCTTCTAAAATGTCAACATTACCAAACAAAAAGTCTGTGGAAATGTGTCAAATTAAAGAAGGCTAAGCCTAGCCAGTTTGGCTCAGTGGACAGAGCGT